GAGCTATTTTTTTTATAGCCTGATTGCGATTTTTCTGAGACTAAAAGAAAATGTGACAGTGGGAGGAATGGAGCTATAGCGGAAGTTCAGGCTGGAAGACTCCGCCCCCTCCGTTCACCCATCGATGTCATGCTCATCCCCGTCCTCAGTGCTGGACCTCACCCTGCATGTTCAATCAGCAATCAGGCTCTGCATAAAAGGATCCACACCCAAGCCGTCAGACGCTTCCCAGCTGCGTTCAAGTTGGTACGCAACCTAATGTCTGACTTTGAGTCTGATAATCCTCCCGGTTCCCCGTTCGCTTTTCGTCGGGATCCCGGTCCTTCCCCCCCCTCACTCACCCCTCACCGACCTTTCTCCCTGTAACAGGCTCCGCATATACACCGCAGTATTCAAACATTTCCCCTCGTCTCCGCTCTAAGATTCTTCAAGGTCAATACGTCAATTTAGCCTCTATCCTCCTTCTGCCATCCCCTGCCGTTGATCACAGCATAGCTTCATCGGAGCAATTTTCCGCCATCATCAAATCTTCCGATCCCCATCTGGCAAAGGATCTGCCCTTCGGTCAGTTCGTGGCAGCCTTTAGCGTATTCAGGGACGTCATTTGTTCTGTTTATCCCAACCGCAGAATCGAATTGAACTCTAACCTGGCTTTGATCACTGATCTTCATTTACAATACGGCCGGTCCCTTTTTTACCAATATCATAAAGCTTTTGCCACTAAAGCCACTGCTGTTCTTTCCCGCTCAGGTCAGATTCTCAATTGGTCCATTTTAGAAATGGAAATTCTCGTAATGCTCACTCAAGCCGCTTCCTGACACCTATGCGGCGTACCGGGTCATCAGAGCGCCTTTTGCCCCTCTCTCCCTTTCAAGACCGGACCTTCCGTTACCTTCCCTCCGCAACCGCTCCTGAAAGCTGTCCCGCTTGACTGTCGAGGCAGACAGGTTCAAGCATTTAACAACATGCCTATCTGTAATAACTTTAATGAAAGCGTCTGCTCTTTTCCTAACTGTGCTTTTCTTCATATATGTAGCTTCTGCAAAGACGCCCACCCCAAATCCGTCTGCCCCCGCCGCACCTTCCCCAGAAGCAGCAGTCAACGTTTCAGGAATTAGTTTCTCGCTTTCTCTCTACCCCCATAAACGTCCCCGAATTAGCCTTCTGTTAATCCACCACCCCGATCGTACATTTGTTAATTTTCTGATCACCGGCATCTCTCAAGGTTTCCTTATAGGTTTACCCCAGTTCCCCGCTTCTTCTCTGGTCATCCCAAACTTGCAATCAGCACTGCACGATCCAAATGCTGTGGGTCAGTTATTATAAAAAGAAGTCTCAAAGGGCTATGTCATCGGTCCTTGTGTTTCCCCCACCTTCCCTCTCTTTCGCGTCAACCCTTTGGGAGTCGCGATCCGAAAATATTCAGGGAAGAAACGCTTAATTTTAGATCTTTCCGCTCCCCATACTGGCTCCCACTTCAGTATTAATAGTCTCATTCCAAAGCCGCCTTTTTCTCTCTGTTAAGCGACAGTAGACCACGCCATAGCACTAATTAAATTGGCCGGTACTGGCGCGTGGCTGGCCAAAGCTGACATCACCGACGCTTTCAAAGTCATGCCTGTGCATCCTTCTCAGTGGCATCTTCTGGACGCAAAATGGGACGCTAACTTCTATTTCTTTGTGCGTCTGACCTTCGGGTGTAGGAGTAGCCCCAGCATCTTCAATGCGTTATCTGAAGCGCTCTGCTGGATTCTGTTGAACGTCATCAAACTTCCCTCCGTGCTTCATCTTCTCGACGATTTTTTGCTCGTTGATCCACCCTCTTCCTCTTCTCACTCTCTATCTAATCTGAAGAATCTTTTTAGCCGCATCGGCGTCCCTCTCTCCGAGGAAAAGACCGTTGGTCCGTCTACTGAGCTGCAATTTCTCGGCATCACCTTAGACTCCGTCAAAATGGTAGCTTCGTTGCCAGCTGACAAACTGGATCGCATCCGCGACATCTCCCAAAGTCACCTTTCCTCCTTGGCGGTTTCCAAGCGTGAGCTTCTCTCTCTTCTCGGGCATCTTAACTTTGCCATGCGCATAATCCCCCAAGGGCGCTCCTTCATTTCTAGGCTGCTCGACCTAGCTAATTCAGTTCCCGGTTTACAGGATCAGGTCGTTTTAGATGACGGCTGCCGCTCCGATCTTGCGTTCTGGTCCTCTTTGCTCAACTCGTGGAATGGCATCTCTTTTTTCTACGACGACGTTATTCACACATCAGACTCCATTCAGTTTTTTACCGATGCTACCCCGTCCGCGGGTTTCGTGGGTTTTTTCCAGGGCAGCTGGTTTGCTGAAAACTGGCCCTCTTCGTTTCCTCAGTCCGAGTCTTCCGCGTTCTATGAAATCATCCCCGTTGCCGTAGCTTGCTGCCTTTGGGGGAAGCGCTGGAAACGCAGGCACATCGTAGCCCTCTGTGATAATGCCGCAGTCGTCTAAGCCATTAACAAAGGCCGATCCTCCTCCAAATCAATTATGCCGTTTTTGCGACGTATTACGTGGCAGTCCGTGATTAACAACTTCATGCTTTCTGCAAGTCACGTTCCTGGTCGTTCTAATACCCTTGCCGATGCTCTGTCTCGTTTCCAATTTCAGATATTCCGTCGGCTCTGTCCTACAGCCGACCTCTTCCCAACGCCTGTTTCCCCCTTTGAGGACCTCGCACTGAATTAATCTCCCCATCTCTCCTACCTCTGCTTCAGTCAGCTAAACGCTACCTCTCAGGCGGGCTCGCCCCATCCACGTTCAAATCTTACACTTTTGCCTGGCACAAGTTTGCCAAATTCTGTTCTTTTCACGGGACTCCCCTTTTCCAAGTTCTAGTTAGCACCGTCGCAGCATTCATCACCCATTGTTTTGATTAACTTAATCTGTCACCATCGTATATTCGCAGTTTAGTTGCCGGAATTAACTTTTTCTCTCTGTTCCACCAGCCTTCCCCTACTCGTAGTTTGTTTTCGAACCAGGTTATCAAGCTTCTTCTGAAGGGTATTCATAATACTCGCCCCACTACTCCTGATTCCAGGAAACCGGTTACCTTTCCTATCCCCTCAGTCTACTCAATACCCTCAGTCGCAGTTCCTATTCCCCCTATCTTAAGAGCCTCCTTTCGAGCACCTTTCTTCTAGCTTTTTATGGTCTCCGTTTGGGGGAGTTCACGTCTCCTAACAACATCTTCAATTCTTCTCGGGATCTGGCGGTTTCCGATCTTAGTTTCCACGCCGACTTCTTCAGTTTATCTCTTAAGCACTCTAAATCTAAAGGCGCCTGTATCATCATCGTGGCCCGTAATAATGGTCCGTTCTGCCCTTATCTGGCCATGTTCAAGTTCGCTCTCTTAAGACATAAACTAAAGTTCGCCCCCGAACCTCTCTTCCTAACCCCGGAAGGATTCGTCATGTCCGCCTCCTGGTTCCTCAAACACCTGATGCTTCTTTTAGCCGCATGTGGCATCCCTCCCTGCCAATTCTCGGGCCACTCATTCAGGATAGGTGCAGCTACATCCGCTGCAGCGCAAGGCATTCCAACGTCATCTCTCCAGCAGCTCGGCCGGTGGTCGTCGTCAGCTTTCTCCTCTTATATCCGTCCAGATATAAGACGGATATAAGATACTGTTCTGTCAGCCCAACACTCCCTCAGTGCCTAGGTGAGCACTGCGGATTTTGCTGGTGGTGGTTGGTCTTTTCTTACTTAAAGCAAGCATTCTTATCTAGTGATTTGTCCCATTTTCCTACTTGCGCCTCCACGCTGCCTCCTACAGGTCTCACCACAAGCACACTCCTTTTACCACATCCTAAGTCTAGTGAGTTTTTATCATTATTATCTCTTTCATTATTGTTTACTTCCCCTCTTGACTTTTTCCTTCTTTCTCCACTGCTACTCCTTTTCCTCTGTCCCTGCTGCTGGCCCATGTCCCAGCGTCTCCTGCCCCTGCTGCTGGCCCATGTCCCAGCGTCTCCTGCCCCTGCTGCTGGCCCATGTCCCAGCGTTCTCTGCCCCTGCTGCTGGCCCATGTCCCAGCGTTCTCTGCCCCTGCTGCTGGCCCATGTCCCAGCGTTCTCTGCCCCTGCTGCTGGCCCATGTCCCAGCGTTCTCTGCCCCTTCAGCTCGCCCATGTCCCAGCCTTTCTCTCAATGTTGGCCCATGTCTCAGTTGTTTTTCTTTTCCCTCATACTTTTCAGTGTTGGCACCTATCCCTCCAACATTCTCCACGGGTTTGGGCCGTTGTTAATCTTGCACCATGTAATCCTGGCATATTAGTTCTCGCTAGAGACCCCCAGTCCCTCCCCCCTTCTCCTTCTCTTGGATGTCCCACACCCAATTTTCCCGTGTTTTATTTCAAAAAGAAATACCACTTGCGCCAAGTCTAGAATCTTTTAAGATAACTGATGGATGGCGACTTTCCGGGTTTTGTTTGTATGCTGTCTTAGGTGAGACCGAGACAGGCAGTCTTAGTAAAGTCGTAATTTTCCGGGAGATGCTACCGCTAATGACCGCAGTGAAGTTAGTTTCAAGTTGGATATTCGAGCTCCGGGGAGTAAGCGGCGTTTAGCTCAAGGTTGATCCGATTTATGAACGCTACTGTCGGCCAGCGGTTCTCCACCGCTCCCAGCCGCAGCGCCCGAAGGTTCACTTAGGGACTGTCAACAAATTACCGAACCAAACATTCCTGTCAAAGAAACGTTAATAAATGCCTTGAATTGTAACCAACTAACTAATTGTCAGTGCTAATTCAGGCTTTTACATGAGCCAAAATAGCATCTATAAAATTTTAAATTCAATATTTTCAATAATTTTAATATTAAATAATATAATGTTTTCTTCAATAGCTTCCAGGTCATGTGACCTAATGACTCAAAATCACTTTGAAATAATTATAGTAGTCTCTTTGGATGAGGCACAGACATTTGATTTCCATTTTTAGCCATTTTCCATTTTTTTATTAATTTTTTTTGTCAAAAATGAGGGTTTTTCTTCAATAGCTTCCAGGTCATGTGACCTATTGATTCAAAATCACTTTGAAATTGTTCCACTAGTCTCTATAGATGAGGCACAGTCATTTGTTTTCCATTTTAAATAATTTTCCATTTTTTAGGAATTTTTTTCACCAAAATTGAGGGTTTTTATTCAATAGCTTCCAGGTCATGTCACCTAATGACTCAAAATCACTTTGAAATAATTCTACCAGTCTGTATAGATGAGGCACAGTCATTTATATTCGATTTGAGTCCTTTTTATAATTTGTAGGTATTTTTATATTGGCTTCTAGGTCATCAATCAATCAATCAATCAAATTTTATTTGAACAGCACATTTCAGCACCAAGGCATTTCAAAGTGCTTCACATAATAAAAACATGAAAACACAGAGTCATGCAACAATCAAAACATTAAGTTAAGAGCTGTCATTAAATTCGTAATTGATTACGTTTCAAATACAACTCTAACCAGGTGGGCTTATAGTCGCGATTTAAAGGCACTCAGTGTTTCAGCTGTTTTACAGTTTTCTGTAAGTTTTTTCCAAATTTGTGGTGCATAGAAGCTGAATGCTGCTTCTCCTCGTTTGGTTCTGGTTCTGGGGATGCAGAGCAGAACCAGAACCAGAAGATCTGAGGGGTCTAGACGGTTGGTACAGCAATAACAGATCTTTAATGTATTGTGGTGCTAAACCGTTCAGTGATTTATAAACTAACAACAGTATTTTTCTATTCTAGTCTATGAGCTACAAGGGATTCAGTGTAGGGACTTTAATACTGGTGTTATGTGATCTATGTTCCTGGTTTTAGTGAGAACCCGAGCAGGAGTTCTCACTAAACTTTCACCCAATTACTCGAAATCAGTGTAAAATTATTTTAGTAGACTGGAACAATGAGGTACGCTCATTTTTAATTCATTTTGACCTATTTTATTATTTTTTAGGCAATTTTGTATTTAAAAAATATATTTCCTATTTTCTCTTCACCTCCATAGGCTGCCACCTTATCGTGATGAAAGGGTTTGAGTGCTGAAGTGACTCTAGGAGTTATGCTGTCAGGGGTTTCATACCCCTTATAGGGTCACCCAATGCTAGAGGTGATGAACCAGACAAAGAGCAGCCCAAAGACCCTTTATGAAGAGCACAATCAGTGTCCCCTCACCTGGACGCAGGTCACCAGGGCACCACCTTGGAGCCGGGCCTGGAGTTGGTGCTCCGTGGCAAGCATCTGGTGCTTGCCAAAACACATGGAGTCTGGCCGGAGTGAAGCGGCCGGGAGGAGGATCAGTACCTACCTATCAGTGCCATGGTCTTGAGCTGGAAAAGGGTATAGAGTGCCTTATTTGGGTCAGGGAAGATTGTCCTGACCCAAGTGGAGGAGTTTAAGCATCTTAGGATCTTGTTCACTGTTGGAGTTCATTCATTTCTGTCTCTGTTCACCACCCATGTCCGTTAACCAGTTTCAGGACCCGACCAGAACCACTCATCGTAAATGACCTTGAGAAATGATGAGATTTGGTTATATATAAAAACAAGCTTTAATGCTAAAAGATGATCAAATTCCACAAGCCATACTTATCATCCAAATGGAGCTTCATGCTTCATATGTTACATTCACCGTCCAGCGTTGGGCCAAGTGAGGCAAAGATTGTAGCAAGTTTAGCTTTTTATTCATCTCTGCAATCTGTATCCTCCCTAAACGGTACT